TCATCCATATTTTATAAACAATCTTTTCCAGCCATTTAGCATGTTTAAGAGAAAAAAATATATATATTGCAAATATAATTTCGAAAAAATAGATATTGCAATCTCAAATACAATTTCAAAAAAAAAAATGTACCAAAGGACCTACCTTTTTGTAGGGTTTAGAGTTGCTTGGTAAACTGACCATCTGTCCATTCTGTTCACACACTGTTAAGGCTCCTACTGACGGGGCGGGGGGAAAGGTGGAAAAAATACTGCCCTCTGACATAATCTGGGTGCAAAACAAACAAGAAGTCTGTGAGTCAATGTTCACTTATAATACCCCTGGTGTGAATATATTTCTCACCTTTAAATGCATGCTCCAGTTGAATATTTTGTTTACAAGTTTGTTCTTAAGATAAGTGGTGTGACCTTAACACACATGAAAACAACAAAATGGTAGATATAATCTTTGTTTTTCCAGCACTTATAGCAATTAAGCGTTGCGAAGCGAAGCTTGTTACTGCGAGATCTAACAACAACGCCTGGGTGAAGAGAAAATTCGGACTACTGCAGATTCATTCCATAAATTCTTTTGCCGCAGTAATTTTGACCCACAATGCATCGCTTTGTACATAAACGCTAAAGCCACGTTCTCGCGAGAATAACAACAAAAGTTAAAATAAAAAATAAATTTTTTTGCCTTAATTTAATGAATTTATCTGTTAATTGCAGAAAAATAGTCATAAACTGATTGAAATCAGCCCTGTTCAGCCTTCGGTTTGGTAAACGTGCAAACGATGTCAAGTGACGTCGGAGTCTTAAACGCACCAAATGTCACGTGCGGTTTGACGAGTCCGCACCGTCAACATATTATTGTGCAGTATAAGTATTTTCTTGCTTTACAGTGCAGTTTAATTGTCATAACTTTTCCAGGTCTGGTACAATCACTAGATTTAGCTACGTAGCTTGATTTACCTACATAGCTTTATTTACCTACCTGAGGTAGCTTTATTTAGCTACCAAATTGATCTATTTCTATTAAAAAGCATTTTTCTCAGGGAGTGCAAACAATATCATTTTGATGCAGTGATCCTTTTCAACTTTGAACTCATCTGAAAACAACTCATGAAAAAATCCCTCTTGGAAAATTATCTTTTTCTGCGCAATTGCAATCAAAGTTCTGAAAGTTTTGGGACTATGTATGACGGTTAAAACAGTTACTCCTTGAATAAAATGACAAAGAAGTCCAGTTCCGGTTAACACGATAATAGGTCGGTAATTATTCAGCACAATGTGAAGTAATCATACTCAGTCATGCCTCGCCGCACCTCACCGTATGGTCAGATAACCAAACAATGGAATTACATGTTTTGCTCTAAAATGTCCAAACGCAGCAATGTGTAAACTATCTCTGCTATGAATTGTTTTTTAAAGCCTCCCTATTAAAAATATCAATAGTCATTTAATTGCGACTTTTTGTCTCTTTTTAACAAATAGAAAATTTTTGAAATCTTACCTTGAAATAGCTAAATAAAGCTACCTGGGGTAGGTAAATAAAGCTACGTAGGTAATTCTACCTACGTAGCTAAATCTAGTGATTGTACTGGACCTGTTTTCTACAGTATATACTCATAATTTTCATAAGTCTTTCTCTATATGCTACAGATATATTAAAAGAAACACATGATTTCGACTCATTGTGTAACTTTATAAGCTTGTAATAAATTAAAGATCATAATCTAGGTCAAAATTACAATATGGACTCCATTGTCTGAACATTACAAAGAAATTTACAGAGGAAATTCGAAATGTATTGTGGATAAGAAAGATAAATAACATGTTTGTAATGATTGTGACTACCATACATTGTTTCTTTTCACTCTTGTGTCTAAACAAATATGAAAATATATACAATTGGATAGATTTACCATTTAAAGAGATGTCAAATCAACATGATTCAAGTTTGTGATGTGAAAGTTGCATTTCCCGCAAAATTCATAAAAGTCGAGGAAAGTGCGATCGTATTTCCGGAATTTCAAAGATAATGTGATCAGTAAAGTCGATGATATCATATTCTTTTTGAGTGTTACGCAAGTGTAAAATAAAAAAGTAACCAAGGTAACATTGCAAAAATTTTAAGATTTGGCAATATTAAGCCACACACCTTTAAGTTTCATATCCGGAAATAAAGATTCCATTTCTTTAGGACCACAATCTTAGAATTCTACTTTCATTTTAAAAATCATGGCGGGAGAGGAGGGTAAAACAAGTAAGGTTGTGTCACAGGAATTTATGAAATATCGCTCTCCCCTTGTCTCGCGATATGCTAGTCCAGAGATGGCCTTTAACTTTAGTGAAATGAACAAATTCACAACATGGCGTAGGCTATGGACATACCTCGCAAAGTCGGAAAAGGTTTGTTAAACAACGTCAGTTCAATTCATAATCATAGGCACTTGGTTACAGGATAATGGGATGGTGTATTTTGTGTATTATGTGTTTTTCTATGTGTGTCTGAATACCCTCATTTAAATGAAAATAAAAATTCGCCGAAATTAGCACGTTTTAAAAAATGTCATATTTACTGTATATAAACAGGTCCAGCACAATACCCCGATAAAGGAATATAGCTTGATAAAGCTATATAGCTTTATCAAGGTATTTAAAATACCTTGATCAAGGTATTTTATGTAATGAAAATTCAAAAAATTTCTTTAAAAATTAAATACTGAAAGTTGAGTTCTGAGTTTTTGACGGTGTGTCTATTCGTGCATGAAAAACACTGTGGCATCAAAAAGAAAGCATAAAATAACGTCTCTTCTTAAGACACGTTTTTATACTGATTTGTTTGTGTTTGAGTACTTTACATGCATGGGTGAATTTACTGACAACAACTCAAAACTCGACTTTCAGTAATTAATTTTTAAAGAATTTTTTTGAATTTTCATTACATAAAATACCTTGATCAAGGTATTTTAAATACCTTGATAAAGCTATATAGCTTTATCAAGCTATATACCTTTATCGGGGTATTGTGCTGGAGCTGATAAAAAGTCAACAGGTCCAGCACAATCTCTTGATTAAGCTATATAGCTTTAAAAAGCTATATATAGCTTTATTAAGCTATTCCAAATAGCTTGATAAAGCTATTTATATGAAATTTTTCACAAAAACGTTTTTTGAAAAAAATTAACAAAAAGTCGCAAATATTTGACAATTCATATATGTACTATGGACTATCAAAAATACAACCTAAATCATAGAAAGTTCTAACATCGCTGCTGTTGAATACTTTTAAGCAAAATATGAATTTCCATTGTTTGAGTAACTGTGTGTGCGGTGAGGCGTGGGTAAGTATGATTGCTTCTCATTGTGCTGAACTGTTACTAATCAATTATCCTGTTGGCCATAACTGGCCACCTTTATAATTTCATTCAAGAAATAACTGTGTGGTCACTCATCAATAGCCCCAAAACTTTTAAAACTTTGAGTACAAAGTCTCTCAAGGAGACGCAATTTGGTGAGTGATTTTTACATGCATTGTATTCAGAAGAGTAAAAAGTTTAATACAGGTAACTCTCGATACCTCGAAGTACGCGGGACAGAGAGAAAACTTCGAGAGATCAAGAGTTCGAGATTTCAAGAGTCCGGAATTTTCTGGGTTTGTTGACCGGTTTTGAAATTAGTCTTACCGGATGTAATAATTTTCATGCAGTGCTAACATTTTACACGTGGTGTTTATAAAACAACGGTATGATTTCGTATTGTAGATAAATATTTATTAAATTGGGTAAATAAAAAATGTACTTATTCACTTCATGTTTATTTATTTATTTTTTTTGATACAGACATAACTACGCATTCGTTAAATGAAAACGACATTTTACCGCGTCGTACACAGCATTGACTACTTCAAACATGATCATTAAACGTTGAACGAAGTTCTGTAAGTATTTGTGCAATAACAGTCATAATATTGACATTGAGGCTGTTTCTTCATTTTCATATTTCGTTAAACTGTCTCGAAATAAAAATTAAACTATTTAGTTTTTCGTCTTGTATTAAATTTACTATTTTTTCATTGACACCGTTTCTCCGAATTATCGTAAGACAGTTGATGATAATTATTTTAATAGCATACAACGTTAGGCAACATATGATTAATTATAAATCAATTATCACCTAGCAGTATGTGTCACCTGAATAAGCGTCCCGTTTCTCGAGACCCGCGTCTTCTGCCTGGGGCCATTTAAATGTCCAGGTAAAGTCGCTAATTATGTAACATTGTATACACATAACCACTTCGAGGTTTCAAGGGTAAATTCCAATAGAATATGCATAGCGGGACTGCATTTCGACTTCGAGGGATCAAGGGTTTCGAGAGATCAAGAGTTCGAGAAATCAAGAGTAAATTTGCTTAGTTATATAGGGAAAAAAATCGGGACCGGAGACTCACTTCGAGCGATCAAGAACTTCGAGAGATCGAAGTTCGAGCCATCAAGAGTTACCTGTATTTCCACTGCACCAAGGTGCGACTTTTTGCACATGTTGAAAAAATAACACATTTGAGAAAAAAGTCTTAGAAAATAGCTTAATCAAGCTATTCTGAATAGCTTAATAAAGCTATATAGCTTAATCAAGCTATATAGCTTAATCAAGAGATTGTGCCAGACCTGGTCAAGGAGCGTCACTCGCCATCTTGAAAATCAGGGGGTACCTCGGTTCACACTTAATTTTCGTCTATATCTACATCTTCCCTACCAGTGTCGGTTGAGATCTAGCTTCGAAAATGATTGAATAACACCTGTCAAACGTCTGCCAATTTGAACATGCCGTGTAAAACATGCAGTAAACACAAAACGTCTTCTGTACCATGTACAGACATCGAAAGCAACATAAATGCCGATTTCTAACGATGAAAAATGTAGAGTTGCCCCGGAATTACACGGAAAATCTAGAGAAAACAAGTTTGGCGCAATTTCTGACCTCTTTAGATTTTCCATGTGTTTCCGGGATGCCTCTACATTTTACAAAGTCGAAATTGCCACTTCCGTTGCTTTCGATAAACAGGTGCAAGAATCGAGGACGTTTCGGTTCACTGCTTGTTTAAAACGGCATATGTAGGTCAACAGATGATAGGGAGTTGTCATTCAATCATTTTCGAAGCTAGATCTCACCCGACACTGGTAGGGAAGATGTAGATATAGACGAAAATTAAGTGTGAACCGAGGTACCCCCTGATTTTCAAGATGGCGAGTGATGCTCCTTGACTTTTTATATACAGTAAATATGACATTTTTTAAAACCTGCTAATTTCGGCGAATTTTTATTTTCATTTTAATGAGGGTATTCAGACACACATAGATAAACACATAATACACAAAATACACCATCCTGTAACCAAGTGCCTATGTTCATAATCACACACTTGTAGCACTTTAAATAAAAAAAACAAAACATTAGTTTCTGCCTATGAATTTACCATAAATATGTCTTATGGGAAATTTCAAGTGTTTTAAAAAAACGCTTTTCTAATAGTTTTAACTAAAGATTTCAATACGGGAAATCATTCTCCCTAGCAACCATGTCAGTTAAAAAGGGTATCAGGCCTGTTTGACCTATTTACCTGTTTGCACGAGTCTGTTCACATAGGGTCTGTTTTCTATTTTTTTAATTCGCCCTATGTCCCTATCTCGATCGCCCTGTTGTAAATATTTTATGTCACCAGTATCATTAGATTTTAATTCATTTCTCTTTCATTTTATTTATTTAAACATGTAAATCAATATTAATATTTAAAATATGTTTTACGTTGTAACTGTTGGGGCGAGCGCAGTTGTACCATCAAAAACACTTTAAAAATGCCACTTCATACATCAAGCTGCACAAGACATCTCGACTAGCTTTGACATCACACGACGTCACTGAGCTTGTCAGAGCTTACGGAGACAGCTGAGCTTCTGGTTGAAACTATTGACCTAGTGCAATTTTGGTGCTGACTTAGTAATAACTGTAAGAGAACACTTTCTTTGTTAGTTTTTTAAAGGTTCCTATCAGGATATATGTTTATAATTGGAAAATAATTTAAGGAAATGGAAAATGGTGTCATAATTATGTTCGACTTTGTGCTAACAAGTTTAAGAGCAAACAGACTCTGGGCGAAAGCAGTCTATCCGAAAAGCACTGGTCCGTCGGACAAAACAGGTGAAAATCTTATTGGTCTGATGCACTAACTAGTAAAATGTCTGATTGTCAGAGGTTTGTTTTGATTGTGTTTTAAATTTTATATTTTCAATATCATCATATAGACGCATTAACTAATACCTAAACATATTATTTAGAACATTTTTTTCGATCGTGATTGTTTTAAAACCTACTTCCGTTACAATGTTTCTAAAATAGTTCGATAAGACAGTACCAGGAAAGAAAATGTAACATTTCAGTTAATATATTTTAATTTGGTATTTGCATATTGATCATATGATATAAAGAAACATCGTTATGATCATTATATGATTAAAGTTTTGGACCAGTGAAAACTTGTTTGGTCCTGTGAAATTGTTTAAATTTTCTGTCCGAATGTCCTGTGAGGATTTTTCTTTTTCGCAAAGACTGCGAAAGAGAGCAAATGGCGTCAAAGGCGAACGCTTTTTATGGCGAATGAACATACAATTTTAAAAAGGTTGATGAGAATGAAAAATCAAAGTTTTCCAAAACTGGTTAACGGACACAAAAGTTTTCGAAACATGAAGAGTGATTAACCAAAGAAACAACTATGGAATCACAAATTTTCTTGTGGGTTTTCGTTGTTTTACATCCACGATATCAAATCCCCATGAACCAAGAGTTTTCCTCAAACCACGAAAATTTGACCTCATGAAAATATGTGATTTAACAGTAATGTAAAAACTATAATAACAGTGATTTTAGCATGGGACTCATTGTTGTCTTTTAAAGGGTCCTCTGGACCCATGATAACCATCTTCAAAATGAATCACTGATAATTATGATGTTATGTTGTTGGCTAAATGTCAATATGAAATATGTCTAAAGTAACTCCAATATCTATATTCAATTAAATATCATCTTAAAGTAGAGGTCAAGAAAATATGAAAAACCAAACTTTGAGTGACATTATTTATAAAAATTTTACCTAAAAATTATGTCCCAGTGCACCTTATTTACCAACTTGTACATGTTATATTTGGAAAGAAGTATCAAAAGACCTTGTTTCTGTAATTTGAGAAATCTGTATGCATCTTTCATTTACGAGATCTTGACCTATAGGTAAGTTAGGGATTACCAGATTTTTGATGGCTAGATATTTTTGTTTTTGAAATGTTTGTTTTGAATTCATGGCCAGTGTTTCATTGGGAGTAAAGTAGTAACAATTCCCTCTCGAGACAAATCAGTGTTACATTGGGAGTAAAGTAGTAACAATTCCCTCTCGAGACAAATCAGTGTTACATTGGGAGTAAAGTAGTAACAATTCCCTCTCGAGACAAATCAGTGTTACATTGGGAGTAAAGTAGTAACAATTCCCTCTCGAGACAAATCAGTGTAACATTGGGAGTAAAGTAGTAACAATTCCCTTTCGAGACAAATCAGTGGTACATTGGGAGTAAAGTAGTAACAATTCCCTCTCGAGACAAATCAGTGTTACATTGGGAGTAAAGTAGTAACAATTCCCTCTCGAGACAAATCAGTGTTACATTGGGAGTAAAGTAGTAACAATTCCCTCTTGAGACAAATCAGTGTTACATTGGGAGTAAAGAAGTAACAATTCCCTCTCGAGACAAATCAGTGTTACATTGGGAGTAAAGTAGTAACAATTCCCTCTCGAGACAAATCAGTGGTACATTGGGAGTAAAGAGTTAACAATACCCTCTCGAGACAAATCAGTGGTACATTGGGAGTAAAGTAGTATCAATTCCCTCTCGAGACAAATCAGTGGTACATTGGGAGTAAAGTAGTAACAATTCCCTCTCGAGACAAATCAGTGGTACATTGGGAGTAAAGTAGTAACAATTCCCTCTCGAGACAAATTAGTGGTACATTGGGAGTAAAGAGGTAACCATACCCTCTCGAGACAAATCAGTGTTACATTGGGAGTAAAGTAGTAACAATTCCCTCTCGAGACAAATCAGTGGTACATTGGGAGTAAAGTAGTAACAATTCCCTCTCGAGACAAAAAGTAGTAACAATTCCCTCTCGAGACAAATCAGTGTTACACTGGGAGTAAAGTAGTAACAATTCCCTCTCGAGACAAATCAGTGTTACATTGGGAGTAAAGTAGTAACAATTCCCTCTCGAGACAAATCAGTGTTACATTGGGAGTAAAGTAGTAACAATTCCCTCTCGAGACAAATCAGTGTTACATTGGGAGTAAAGTAGTAACAATTCCCTCTCAAGACAAATCAGTGTTACATTGGGAGAAGTCATTACATTGAGTATACACTTCAGTAAAACTTGGTTAGTACAAACACAGTATTGCAAATTCACGGATATAGCAAAATTATCTTGAAGCTCCAGCAATATAAATTTAATGCATTTCTTAATATACGGATATAACGAATTATGGATTTAGTGAATTAATTTCATAGGTCCCAGTGACTTCGTTATAATGCGAGTTTTACTGTAGTCATGATTCCGCTTTATGCCAATTTTTGCCATATTTAATTCCAGTTTTACTGTAGTCCTGATTCTGCTTTATGACAATTTTTACTGTATTTAATTCCAGTTTTACTGTAGTCCTGATTCCCCTTTATGACAATTTTTACTGTATTTAATTCCAGTTTTACTGTAGTCCTGATTCCGCTTTATGCCAATTTTTACCGTATTTAATTCCAGTTTTACTGTAGTCCTGATTCCCCTTTATGACAATTTTTACTGTATTTAATTCCAGGATCTAGGGCTGGATATCACAGAGGAACAAATAAAAGAAATGGAGAATAACGTAACAAATATTGACTTTGAGCTGGCGGCTGCGGAAGAGAAGAAATTCCGACATGACGTCATGGCCCACGTACACACATTCGGAGCATGTTGTCCCAAGGCAGCGTCCATTATACATTTAGGAGCCACGTCAGCTTATGTAGGAGATAATACTGTAAGGCAGCATTAATTTTACATCATGGTTTCCAAATATTTTTCCTTTAGATTCTTTGCAAATTAGAACTTCATGACTTTTCATTTTCTCATGAGCTACCATGCTTGAGGATGAATATCTCCATTGTTATGTCATAATTCCGAACTTCAAGTCCAAACTATAATGCAAATGTTTTGTTTCAAAATTGATCCTTGAATGATTAATATTTGGCCTGTCATCAGACAAATAATTTAGTAATAAGATATGAATTAAGTTTTGAAAATTCATGAGGTATTTGAATTACAATTTTCATACTGCCATATGAAATATAAGTATTGGCACAAAGCATTGTAGTTCATGTCCTCATTAATTCTCAAAAACGAAATTCATTTCTAAATTAATTACTAACTGACTAATTAGGGCCCCGCAAGGATTTGCGGGTGCCCTATAGTAATCACTCTGTCTGTCTGTCTGTCCGTCTGTCATTCTTCTTATATACTTTATATTAAGAAAAAAGTGTTGAGTAAAAGTTCAACAAGTTATCTACCTTCATAAATGTTCACATTTGAATGGGTAATATGCACAATAAAAATAACAATACTTCCTTTGAATTCCCTATACATAATTTAAAAAAATAGAAGCTTAATGTTTAACTTCTGACTGACCTCTTAATATTCAAACTATAAAAAATAATACTCAAAATGTGAGTGAAAAGTAGAAAATATCGTTTCATGTGAGAGCATAGGAAATTCAGGTTAAAAGACGATTTTTTATAAGTGGTGATCTTAATGGCTATATTTCATCATCAATTCTTTTGCTGTCTATATGAATTATGTCTCATGGAAGGGGAAATATTTAGATTTAACCTTAATTATTATTTTGAAAGCATGTTATCGAATTATTCACTGACTCAGTAACCAGTTGTTAGGCGAC